CGTTCCAAACTGACGGTGAGCAGGCGCGCCCCCCGAGGGCCTGGGCTCTGGGACCAGGCTTCTCCCTATCTGCGCTGCTCCAATCTCTTAGGAGAATCTATTCATCTATCACTTGGCAATGTTTTCAATTTTAAAAGCAAATGCAATCACTGACAAAATGAACACAGACCGCAAGGTTCTCAAACTCTGGGGTTTTGAAGAATCATCAGAGAACTGTTAAAACTGCAGCTGCCCAGACCCCACGCAGACTGACAAAAACCGCTGGCTAGATGAGAATAAATAAAGCCAGGCCATTTGTATTCTGACAAGCTCCCCAGTGATTCTGGTGACGTGATCACTGCTACTACTACGACACTGTTATTAATATCGACTCCTACTGCAAATACATGGTCGGACTACCACGTATACCCACTCACTACATGCCACTCACCATTCTCAGCACGTTACAAATATTATCTCATTTAATCCCTACAACAACCCTGTAAGGAGGTACTACTATTTAAACACCGCCCTCCCTTTACATGGTTTTATAGATGAAACCATTAAAATACAAAGAGATGATTTAACTGGCCCATGGCCCAAAGTCACAGGACTAGTGAGTGGCACAGCCAGAATGAACAACAAAGTTTGAAAATCCCTGATACAGTTTCCTAAACTAAGACAATAGCTGTCTACCCTGGTCATTTCAAAGTCCGTTTCATTTCAGATACCGCATTTAAAGGACACTAACAAAACTGAGCTGCTGAAAGAATGCATGGTGAAATCACACCAAACCACAAGGGGACAAAAGATCTAGGGCTGTTTACGTACTTCCAGCATAATCCGCATCAATTCGTAATATTTTGTCTGTCTCCCCCAGTGGACTGTGAGCCCTTCAAGTGTAGGGACCATGTATGTCTTTTCAACTGTACCCTCCTGATAACTGGCGGCTAACGAAAGGAAGGGTTTAATACATTTATTAGTCGATAAATCTAGACAAAGTCTGCTGACCGTCCCGGGCGGCGAAGGCTATTACGTGGGGAAGAAACAGACAATTCATGTTGCTTCAGGCGGAACAACTAAGATCCACAGGTAAAAGCGGTGGGACAGTCTAAAACACCTTTCTAGCGACCTGTCCAGTAACAGAGAAGCACGTCCGCAGTTCGAGACTGATGAGCAGAATACAGTAGACGAAAGGTAGGATGTTGGACTATGGGGCCTCGAAGAGCTCTGCCAAGGCCCAAATTCTATTAGTCCAAGTTATGATACATTCGTTTCTTCTTTTTTTTTTTTTTAGATTTTTTTATTTTTCCTTTTTCTCACCAAAGCCCCCGGGCACATAGCTGTGTATTTTTAGTTGTGGGCCCTTCCAGTTGTGGAATGTGGGACGCCGCCTCAGCATGGCTTGATGAGCGGTGCCATGTCGGCGCCGAGGATCCAAACCGGCAAAACCCTGGGCTGCAGAAGCGGAGCTCGCGAACTTAACCACTCGGCCGCGGGGGCCCTAAGTTTCTTCTTTGATAATTCTTGATACATTCTACAGCGACTAGTTACACAAGTCCCAGGAGGTGGCACAGAGGATACCACAAAGCGTTCTCTAACCTCTCAGGGCCCTTAAGGATCCAGAGAAGAGTAAATACACAGAAGTGAATCTTCCAGGGAGGAAGGCAATGGATACAAGAATCAGCAAGGAGTGAGGAGACTTCCGGGCAGGAAACAGGAGGGAGTCCACAAAGGTGTGAAGGGAGACATGCCGCCATTTGTGCACATTTCCGTCCTGGTCTAGGCATAAACATGGAGGCAGGAGAGGAGGCCCTGGGGGCATGAAGACCCGGCTGGAAACAATTAGTAAACTCAGGTGCTGACACGAAAAGGCCTCAGCGGTCACTCAGTCAAATACACACACTTTACGGATGCTGCCCTGCTTGCTCTGAGTAAAGAAAGGTTGGTTTACTTTCTTAAATTACATTTCACGAACCAAAACCTCTATCATCAATGATCTCTTCTTTGCCTAGGCTTTTTTCTCAAGACTAATAGATCCTTCTTTTATTTTCTGGGAAATCTTTTAGGTGATTTTGTTTTTAAACATTTGTTATTTTCTGCTACTGTCTACCCTTTCTACTGTTTAATTTGACAACCAAACTTGCAGTTATCAAAACTGACATTTTAATAACTCAGCTCTGAGCCTAATACTTATAATCCCTTAAATGGTTATAACATTTACCAATAGTGTTACAAAATAAAAACTATTACATTATAATCTAAAAGCTACAACTTTATAAGTAGGAGATTGTTAAGAAAAAAAAGAGTAACAAGAAATTAATTTAAGTTTCAGGCCCAAGAAACTATTTCACTCAACTGATAAACCCTGACACTGAGCCACCCAAGAAAAGAAAATTAACAAAAGACTGAAGTAAAAAATCCAAATCCAAAACCAATGAACAAAATATAACACATCTGAACCATAAACTTAACGGTCTTCCGGCCAATCACTTCTGAACATCCTTGTCAAACTATTGTAAGGATCTGGAATCTCGCTCTATTAAAAGCAAGTTCCCATCATCCGAACTACACTTACGAGATTCTCTCACAATAGTTACTGAAGCATAACACACCAACCTTCAGCTTTTTGCTTCCTAATAGTATAAAAAAGCCTTGCCTCTCTTACACAAAATTGAGTCTGTGGCCAAAATCCTGACACACCAGGAGATCTGGGTTTTCAGTTCTAACACTAATTTAAGGTGTAAAGTTCGCAAAGGTCTATTCTGTATTTACCACTTAAATTGTAACATGGAAATACAACATCTGACACCTCCACCTCCAACAGTCTCTTCAAAGGATTTCCGACTTTGGTTAATCTCAGTTGGGAGAACATAAAGCTACGGCTGAAAACTCCTCCATCAAAATAAGAACTTTAAAAATCTAAAATAGTGCTACACATTATTTGATAAACTATGAACTATAGAAACTGAGATTCGACTAACAATTGCCAAAGAAGGTACAACTACACAATTTGACAAAAATGAATACGCAAATAGCTCACCAAAATTTACATCTTTCTTAGCACTCGGAAAAAATAAATAATACTCAGTAACTATGGAACACTGTGGTGTTATGTTTCTTATCCACATAGTCTCTGCATCAATGTTACTATTCTCCCACTCTCTTGATGAGCAAAAGGAGCCCACTGTCCCGGATCCCCCATACCAAGAGTTCAGTAAATGTCACTAATAGTAATAATAATAATAAAAGCAACAATTTCTAAAGCCACAATTTACACGGGAGTGTGGCACCCGAACAGGGAGCAAGGCACACGGCAGCATGCAGCTATTTCTCGCTTCTGACTCTTCTGCATCACTGCTTCCCAAAGGACTAGAAAATCTGAAGCTCTTACTGCCACATCTACAAATTAAAGTATCATGCTTAAAAAAGCTCACAGGTTCTCCGAACCGCCGGTATTTAATGAACGAACCCCACGACAGAGAAACTCACCCAGATGCAACAAAACATGCTTTAAGGCTCCACCTATTTCTTTTAACTTTAGAAATAAACACAACTGTTCAAAAACATTATGTAATAAGTTAGACTCTGGAAAACCCCCTACTCATCCGAGCGGCTCAGAAAATGGAAAGCAAAATTCGATTAGCTCCATTGTACCCACCCAGGCTAACGTGCAAGATCACACACTCAGCTTCGTCAGAGCGTCTCTGCCAGGACCAAAGCACAACAAAGGCAACTTGAGGAGGCTGCACAAGGCTTAACTCGGCACTCGTCCGCTTTCCCAGCTTCCGAAAGCAGCTCTCTGCGGCCGCAGGGACCAGGGGGACCCCCGAGGCCGCCCGGCCGGCGGCTGGGCTCGGCGCCGCTCGCTCCGCTTTTGTCTGGCAGGCTCGGAGGCTCGGAGCCCCGGCCGCCCGCCTCCCCGGCACCCCGCCTCCCCGGCACCCCTTCCCTCTGGATCTTTCTCCACACCCGGCCCTCGCCCCGGATTGCTTGCCGTGGGCTTCGCTCCCTCGCCGCCTCCCCTTGCAATCTCGGGCTCTTTTCAAACGCCACTCGGGCTCCGCCGGCGTCTCCTACCCGGCCGGAGCCTCCGGTCACGGAGGGGGCGGGGGTGGGCTCTCGGAGAGGAACAGGGAGGGGGACACAAAGCCGAGCTGACCCCACGCCCCCTCCCCCCCCCGCAAAGCAGCCTGGGATCAGCGACCGACTGGTTGGATAAACAACCCTCCCATCCCGCCCCTCAGCCGGCTCCCACCTAAGGGCCGCCCCCTCCCCCAAAGTGCACCCAAGAGCCGGTGACAGCGCTGCAAGTCGCCGCCACCCAAATTCGGCGCCCGCCACTTGCGAGGGAGGGGGCAGGGGCCCGGGGCCTAGATCTCCTCACCATAACCCGGTACTTACAGCCGTATCATTCGCTACTGTTGCCGCTGCGGACCACACAGCCGCCGCCTTCTCCTCCACCCCAATGAGGTTAAGCGCTCGGTGCGGGGATTAAAAAAAAAAAAAAAAAAAAAAAGCAGCCGCGAGCGCCTGCGCACTGCGGTCTCCCTTTCTCCCCTTACCGCCAACGAGCCGGCTGTACCATAGAGAGTGTAAACCGGGACCAGAGAGGCGGCTCCCTCTCTATGGTAACGCCCCGCGCAGGCGCCGGCCGGGCCGAACTGCGATTCGGGACATACAAATCCCGGGAGCTTTCACCTCCTGGCAAACGTCAGATGACCCTGATGGGGACCCGTAGGGTAAAGGTTATGTCAGACAAGGGTGGCCAAGGTTCAGAAGGGCCTTCTGGGGAATTGCGGCAAAACTCAGGCTGGGCAAGGAGGATCGCATCTAAACCGCCACGGCAGTAGGGCACCAGAAAGCTGGGAGTGTGCTGAGGAGGGCTAGGGTGGAACCAGGAAAGCCTGGGTAGAAGTCTGGCCGGAAACTCCTTCGGTCCGGGCTCTAATACCTGAAGGCAGCCGACTTTCACTTCCGGGTTACTCGTGGTCCCCCCCCCCCGCCCCCCCCATCGAGCGATTTGAATGAAGGAAATTGTGTCCTGCGGCTTCCCGTCCCTGGGCTGGCCTCTGTTCTCCCTCCCTATCTGAAGTAGGAGCGGACGCTTCGCCGGAAACACACATTTTTAACGGTTTTTTGCCCCTTTTCAAGCGGAGCGGGCCCGTGTAGGCCTCGGAGGTCCTTCAGACGGTCGGCTCTAGACTGTTTCTTCCTTGAGGGTCTCCATAAAAAGCGCTGCTTCCGTCCTCCCGCTCGCTTTCCTCTCGGATGCTGCGAGGGGAAGGGTTTCCGAGGGTAGAAAACGGTGCGAGTGACGGGGCCGTCTTAAAGGATGCTGAAGGACCACAGTTGCCGCGTCAGGCCCGTGCGCTCGCGGGAATTTGCCGTGGAAAGCTTTTGTGTGAGATTATCCGCGGCCTCGGGGAGACCGCTCTTCCTCCATCTCGACGTGCGGACCATCGAGTTGTCCCTGGAGCCTCTGTGCGCCGAGCTCCGTGCTGCTGGCGTGCATGTGTGTTGGGCGCGGGATGCGGGAGGAGAACTGACATGCTGCCCCTGATGCTCGCGCGTAGAAGAGATAGTTGGAGAGACTCAGCCACCGCATTAAACACAGAGCCGGTGTAGGCCCTTCTCTGGTGCAGGAAAGAGAGAGGAGTGTGGTCTCAAAGAGGAGGGACGACCTGGAGGCTGTGACTCCTGGTTTGATCTGGAAAAGATAACCGATCTTTCCGGCGAAAGCACAAGCAACTTTTTGGAAATGGATGGTAACGGTGAAAGAGCATTGCAGAGAAGAAACACCGTGGGACAAAGGCTCGAGAGGGAGTGGGTGTTACACTGGGAGTTCACTGAAGACAGCACTCTAACTGAAACGGGGGCGGGGGACGGGGGAAAGACAGACCACAGGACCGGAAAGTCAGGTTTGATAAATAGGATGGGGATTTTAAAAAAATTTTTAGTAGTGGTAAAATACACATAACATAAAATTTACCATCTTAACCACTTTTAAGTGTACCCTTCAGTAGAGTTAAGTACGTTTACATTGCTGTGCAACCATCTCAGGAACTCTTTTCCTCTTACAAAAGTGGAATTCTATAGCCATTAAACAACTTCTCCTAACCCCCTTCTGCCAGCTCTTGGCAACCGTTCTACTTTTTGTCAGTTTGACTATGCAGGTGCTTCATATGGGTGGAATCATATAGTAATTGTCTTTGTGCAACTGGCGTATTTCATTTAGCGTAATGTCTTCAGTGTTTCTCCGTGTTGTAGCATGTGTCAGAATTTCCTTCCTTTTTAAGGCTGAATAATATTCCATTGTGTGTACATACCACGATGGACACTTAGGTGACTTCTACCTTTTGGCTATTGTGAGTAATGCTGCTATGAACATGGGTGGTCAAATATCTCTTTGAAACTCTGCTTTCCATACGTTGCGGAAGCTTTTGAAACCAAGTAGAGAAATCCATACTGTTTCAGATCCTCAACTGGGGGTAGTAAAATGGTGGAAGGACTGCAGTTGGGACTAGAAGGTCAATACATGCTCCATTTATAGAAAGCACTTATGGAGGCTGTAAGATATGCCAGGCCTTGTACTACTGCTTTGTGTAAATTAACGATATGTCACTGAGTCCAAAATAAACGTGAGCCAATTGTTACCACATGTTACTGTGAGAAAATCAAGCTTCTGGGTTACAGATGGGCTGAGGGGACGCTAACCAACCACACATACACAGAAGTGGTTAGGAAACAACTCCCATGGGAGCTGGGCATCCGTGGCCCTGACTGTTTGCTGGTTTGTTCAAGGATATTGAAAGAAAACAGTTCACACGTAAAAGAATAGGCTGACATCAAGAGCTTTCACTGTCACATCACTGGTATGCCTAGGGGCTTAACAGCAAAACTGCGTTCCGAGGTCCCTAACAGAACCCTGCGGTTTGAATTCAGGTCTGTTCGTTGCCTTTAAAAAGTATAAAGTGCTGGGTAAGTACGTCCTTGTGTGTGATACGGACGTTAGTGAGGCACATCGTTCCCGACTCAGCTCTTCCTCTTTCACTTTACGTTCTCAGAAGTCCCGGGACATCGTTCAAAGCAACGATCTCCACTTGGCAGATGAGGAGATTGAGGGCCAGAAAGGAAAATGATTTGCCAGCCATGGCTGATTGGTACCAAGGCTGCAGCTGAAACCTGAACCTCCAGACTTCCCACTCTGTGCTTTGGGCTCCCTTACGAAGATAGACGCCACAGTCTGAGTGAGTGGACGATGTTTCTGTTCAGTCAGTTTCATCTCTTTCAGGGATATACGCCAAACTCCCGTGAAGCTAGTGCCGGTTAAACAATGAGGCCGAGAGAATAAGTGCATTATAAAGAGCATTCATACCCTCAACAATATTGCATACCAACTATGTGCCAAACACTTAGCAAAGCAGGAGAAAATCCCTGTTCTCAGGGAGAGGAGATAGAAAATAAAGTAATAGATAAATTACATACTCTGTCAAGTAGGATAGGTATTCTGGGGAAAAAATGAAGCAGTGCAGGGAAAGTGGTGCTGAGGATAGGGAAAGAGATTTCTGTTTAAATAGGACAAGGGGGGCACTAAGAAGCAAACTTTGAGCAAAGATCTGAAGGAGGCGAGGGAGCAAGAAATGTCCTTTATCCGGGAGAAGAACTTTCCAGGTAGACAGAGTGGCAAGTGCAAAAATTCTGAGGCAAGAGGATGCCTACTACATTGTAAGAACAGAAAGGAGACCGGAGTGGCAGAAGCAGAGAATGGGAGGGGAAAAGTAGGAAATGAGGTCAGAGGTAACAAGATGCCAAATTGTGTAGGGACTTAAAGGGCATTGTAAGGACTTTGGCTTTTATTAAGGGAGATGGGAAGCCATTGGAAGGTTTTGAGCAGAGAAGTACGTGATGTGACTTCTGTTTTGAAAGAATCACTGTAGCTTCTGTTTTGAGAATAGAATGTAGGGGAGTAGGGAGTTTTGACAGCAGATTATAGGGGAGCAAGACGGGGACAACTTAGGAAGCCATGCAGTACTCCCAAGTGAGACGGTAGTGGCTGGGGAACGTGCAAGCAGTGGAGGGGTGAAGTGTCACCATATTTTCAGACATGATGATACACAGGGTTTGATGAGTTACTTGGTAGAGTGTGCGAAAAAGATGAGCTAGGACTCCAAGATTTTTGGCCTGAGCAATTTGAAAAATGGAATTGTACCTTACTGAAATGAGAAACACTGGGAGGAGCAGGTTGGGGATGGGAAGAGAGAAGAAATTAAATTTTGGAGATGTTAAGTTTGAAATGCCTGTTAACACATGGAGATATCAAGAAGGCAGTTAGATATATGAGTCTCACTTATATATCTATAAGTTGTAAGTTGTATAAGAAGAAGGGTCCAGGGGCCAGCCCAATGGTGTAGTGGTTAAGTTCGCCCACTCTGCTTTGGCGGCCCTGGGTTTGTGGGTTTGGATCCTGGGCGCAGACCTACATACCGCTCATCAAGCCATGCTGTGGTGGCATCCCACATACAAAATAGAGGAAGACTGGCACAGATATTAGCTCAGCGACGATCTTCCTCAAGCGAAAAAGAGGAAGATTGGCAACAGATGTTAGCTCAGGGCCAATCTTCCTCACCAAAAAAAAAGAAGAAGAAGAAGGTTCCAGGCTGGAGATATAAATTTGGGAGACATCAGCATGTAGAGAGTATTTAAAACCATGAGATCATCTAGATTCTAAGTGTAGACAAATTTGAAAGAGTTACCCAAGGACCGAGCCCTAGAGCACTCTAGCTTTAGGGGTTGAGATGGTAATGAAACCAGCAAAGGGGACAGAAAGAGCAGCCACTGAAATAAGAGGGAACCAGGAAAAGCAGCCAAGTCAATTGCTGATGGACTGTAATGGTGAGGATGAAAGCCTGATTGGAATGGGTTCAAAAGAGAATGGTAGGTACACAATTCAAGAGAGGAAGAGTAGATACTTTGGAGGAAGATTTGGTTGTAAGGGTAAGGAGGCAGAAAATTGGGGTGATTGGTAGGGTCAAGATAATTTTTTGTTTAAATATTTTTTTTTCCTCCCCAAAGCCCCGTGGTACATAGTTGTACGTTTTTAGTTGTGGGTTCTTCTAGTTATGGCATGTGGGATGCCATCTCAGCATGGCTTGATGAGCGGTGCTGTGTCGGCACCCAGGATCCAAACCGGCGAGACCCTGGGCCGCTGGAGTGGAGCGCGAACTCAACCATTTGGCCACGGGGCCAGCCCCAAGAGAATAATTTTTTAACTATTTCATCTACAAATATTGTAGCGTTTCTAGGAGATAAGATTCTTTTCTTACAAAGATAGATACCGAACCTCTTGATCTCAGGTTCATGTGCCCTGTGCTCAGTAAGCCAATCACTGAGCTATGGTGCTTGGAGATGGAGAAAGTTTATTCGAATTCACCAAAACAAGAAGCTGGCAACATAGGTTCTCTCAAGTCTGCCTTAACAAAAGAAGACAGCAGGGGGTTTTATAGAGCTAAGGGCTTGAGAGAAGGAGTTTTGGAGAAACAAATAGGAAATTGAGTTTCTTTCACTCCAGATAAGCCCTTGGGCAATCAGACTTCTGGGCATCAGTGGCAGCTGAGGGCTGGTTATCTGGTGATCCTAACTTGCTTAAAGGCATTCTTTTCTTCTGCAAAACAAGCTCAAAAATCCTTGTGACCCTTGAGTCACCCCTCAGGTTAAACAAGAAAACAGCAAATTGACAAGGTTAACGTCTTTTCATTTGTGATGCTATTGGGAACAAGGTCAAAGGGTAATCCTGTTCTTACTGAACTTATTGAATATTTACAGTGACCCTCAGGTACCCAGCTTCAATATAACCTCAACATCACTACACACGTAAAAAGTAATTCCTGGTATCATCTGCTGTCAATCTTCAAATGTCCGTGTCTCAAAGTTCTTTTGCTATCAGAGTTATTGAGATATAATTCGTATACCATACAATTTACCCACTTAAGCTATACAATTAAAAAGTCTTCAGTACTGACAAGATTTTCACATATTGGGACATACAGGGTAGCTATTCTGGTTCAACACAGAGTCAGCTTGAACTAAAGAAGCCTCACTTATGGCCCATCAAACATAGATTGTACATCTTGTCCAGGCAAGTAATCCATAATCTACAAATCAAAATTGGGATGAGTTTATTCTGTGAGCCAGCTTTGAGGACTGTAGCCTGGGGGCTTCCTTCTCCAAGGAAGGAAGCACTCTGCAGAAGCAGGGTGTACAGAGGTGTTACACACGGTCTTGCAACAAAGGATGTACATCACGTGGGACAGGAATATCTCTTTTACAACAGTCATGAGATGCTTTGCTGGCACACAGTGGTCACAAGGTGAACACAGCAGGTCTGTAATTAACCCTTAGTTTCTGGGAAGAGATGCTTATCCTAAAAGAAATGCTGATATGGGGGGAGGCAGCATCCCCATCTTTGAGGGCATCATTCTTGGCTTTGAGACATTGTAAACGTTTAAAGCAGATGTACAATGCATGCTCAACAGGCCACATCAGGCCTTGGTGGAAAAACAAGGTCAGGCCGAATTAGTTTTAAACTGAATGGCTTCCTCATGTACTTCAGTATATCCTATTGCTTTTCATTATTTCATCAATCTGCTTTAACCATTAAAGTGAGCAGTGCATTAAACATTTTCTCAAGGTAAAAGAATGCACTTTGTTAAGAATTCAAGGGCCAGCCCTGTGGCACAGCGGTTAAGTTCACACATTCTGCTTCATCGGCCTGGGATTCACTTGTGCAGATCCTGGGTGTAGACCTACACACCACTTGTCAAGCCATGCTTTGGCAGATGTCCCACATATAAAGTACAGGCATTTGGGCATGGCTGTTAGCTCAGGGCCAGTCTTCCTCAGCAAAAAAGAGGAGGATTGGTGGCAGATGTTAGCTCAGGGCTAATCTTCCTCAAAAAAAAAAAAAGATAAGAATTCATACTTTCCCACCTACAATGCCAGTATCGGTAACACCCTATCAGTACCCCTATTGGTAATGCCTCATATTTATATTTATCCATTCATTAGTTGATGGACATTGAGTTTTTCCAAAGTACTTTTAGGCTATTGCAAATAGTGTTGCTGTAAACACTCTATTACAACATTTTGTGTGGACATGTGTTTTTATTTTTCTTGGACATATACCTAGGAGTGGAATTGCTGATGATAAATGATAAGTGTATGTTTAACCTTTTCAGGAATGGCCAGAATGTGTTCCGTGGTGAAGGTGCCATTTTACATTCCCACCAGCAGAGTATAACGGTTCCAGTTTCTTCCACGTCCTCACCAACATTTGTTATTATTTGTCTTATTTATTATACCTATTCTGTTAGGTGTGTAGTGGTATTTCACTGTGGTTTTGATTTGCATTTCCCTAATGACTAATGATGTCAAGCATCTTTTCATGTGCTTATTGGCCATCCTGTATATCTCATCAAAGAAATGTCTATTCAGAGCCTTTGCTCATTTTGTAATTGTGTTGTCTTTTTTATTATTCATTTATAAAAGCTCTTTATATATTCTGGATTTAAGTCTCTTATCAGATATATGATTTGAAAATATTTTCTCCTATTCAATGGGTTGTCTTTTCACTCTCTTGTTGATGCCCGTCAAAGCACAAAAGTTTTTAATTTTATTGTCCAGTTTATCTATTTATTCTTTTGTCACTGTGTTTCTGGTATCTTTCTAAGAAACTGTTATGTAATCCAATGTTTTCTTCTTAGAGTCTTAGACTTTTGGCTCTTATATTTAGGTCTTTGATCCATTCTGAGTCAATTTTTGTACATGGTATGAGGCAAGGGTCCAAACTCATTCTTTTGCATGTAGCTATCCAGTTGTGCCACCACTATTTTTTGGAAAGCCTATTCTTTCTCCATTGAATTGTCTTGGCACCCTTGTGTAAAACCAATTGACTATAAGTGTTTGGGTTTATTTCTTGACTCCAAATTCTATTCCACTGATATATATCTGCATTCTTACACCAGTGCCATACCGTTTTGACTACTATAGATTTGTAGTAAGTTTTTGAAATCAGAAAATATGAGTCCATCAACTTTGTTTTCGTTTTCTGGTGGTTTTGGCTATTTGGGGTTCCTTGAATTTCCATATGAATTTTCCAATCAGTTTGTCCATTTCTGCAGAAAAGGTAATTGTAATTTTAATAGGAATTGCATTGACTCTTTAGATCAGTTTGGAGAGTGTTGCCGTCTTA